GGCACGGAAAGAATCAACAAGGAAAAAAGTTTGCTTTTGCTTTTGCATTTACTTTATGAGAAAATCGATGGAACCCATTAAAAGTAGGTTGCCAAAAATGCTGCAGGAGTAGTACTGGTACTTGCATGCACGTAAATAAAATAGAATATTCACACAGTATATGCCATCATTTGCTATCATTATGGACTCCATAATGGCAAACGAAAAATTACACACGAAGGAGCAGTGCTCCTACTCATGAGGTGATTCATTTGCCACTGCAATAACAACCAACAAGACTTGTGGGGGGGAACTTTTTCAAGTATGTATAACCAATCGTAAAGTTCGAAGGCAGACGTGCTCAACAATGTCACTGTACTACCGGAAATTCAGTTTCTATACAGTCATACTTAAGTTTTAATGATTTTATCTAACTCAGAACTGTAGTCTTCGTCTAATCAGGGTAGCCCGATTGTGTACCACGTATTGCAGTTAATTTTAAATCCTAAACTTATAATCCTTGAGTCGATATCATATGATTAATGTAACTTAGACATAACTTTATTCTTCTTTTAACGAATATTATATCTTTTTCCATACCGCACCGTCTGCTAAATCTCGCTCTCGCTCTCTCTCTCTTTCCACCCACGAATTACCCTCCTGCCAATGCAGACACTGGTCGAGGAAAATAGATAGAGAGAGAAAGACAGAGGCCCACGGCTAAGGGAAATTGTGGCCTTCATTCTAGGTATATGGTGGAGCTTTATATGTATGTGTTTTCCGCTTTGTTGTATCTACAAAATTGAGGAAATTCATGATTATTGTAGGGGCTGTAGTGAGTGTGGCAACATTTTGTAGATACACTTGTTTTAGTGTATCCGGTTTTATGTTCAATCGAGTTCTGCTGCAAACTTTATTAGATCTAGGCGAGAGTTCCCATTAGCGAAAGGCTTTATTATATTTCTGCGCTTATATTTAACGTTTATTTAATCGAATTGTCTGTTCAATAGAGTGGAATGGGTACTATTTAACATACTTTATTAATTGGAAGAAACAAAAGTAATAATCAGAACAGCTGCCTAAATGTTCGATATTAAGGTTCAGATTTGTCGTCTGAATCGAATTTAATTGAATTGTCTGTTCAATTGAGTGGAATGTAGATTATTTAAATACACTTTAATCTTTAGGAGACACGAAAGTAATCCCATAACAGAACAGCTGCTGTTGATCAGCCGAAATGTTCGATTTCAAGGTTCAGGTGACTAAGATCATAAAAGACTCGACCTAATAAGAGCTGTTCGTCATTCAATAGAAAAAAGGTGAAACATTTTGTACATTGAGCTGATGATCTCACACCAAAAAAGAAGAAAAGTTTGTCCTTGAATCAAATGGAAACAATAACCTCTGACGGGTAGTGTGGACTCTTATAGCATCTTTAGGTACAGGTGCAGTAATTATTACATTCCCCTCAAATGGTGTGCGGGGATGGGGAAAATATCTCGCTCGGGGGGGGGGGAAAAATGGAGGGCGGAGACTTGGCACGAAATGAAACGAAACCAGAAAACCGCAAACTAATGAACGGACTGGCACTGGCACTGGAGCTGGAGCTGTGCTCTTTCCCGGGATTTTGGAGCACAGGGCTGCAGACGGCGGTGATGACGACGCTGGTTTGGACGTTTGTGGTTTTGTGGGTCCGACAGGGGCTTACGGTGGCTCCATGGTCTCTGGAGCTTACCAAAGCCGTCGCCGCTGATGCTGCAGCCCCAGACCTAGCCACTGCCACTGCCACTGCTTCTGCCGTTGCCATTGCTGCTGCTGCTGCTGCTGCTGCTGCGGTTTGCGGTTCTTTTTGTGCCTGGTGCAATTGTTCCTGCTCCCGGAGGCCATGACATCAACAGACATAGTCAGACACACAGATACATACAGATGTGCACAAGTATTTTCCAAAATGGCGATTGGCCCCCCCGCCTAGAGATAGATACACACAAACCGGTAAGACTTCAACGCCCGCGGGTGTACGCTGCAACGTGACGTTGCAGTTTCAGAGATGCAGCAATAGGAATAGACATACCACGTACATACCACATATATATATCCAATATATGCACACATACATACATATATGATCCAAGATTGGTATGGGCGTGGGCGTGGGCGTGGGCGTGTATGCACTGCCAAAAGCTGACGCAGCTTAAAAATCAGCTTACCTTACTTCTCTCACACACTGGGATTCAACGTCAGAGTCTGTCTGCCGCTTTTCAGGACTTTTGCGGCTTATGGTGAAACTCTGGCAGAGATGTGGATCTCCTCTCCCCTCCAGACTCGTTCCATTCCGTAGGCTTATAAGCCTTTACTCCGTACTCCCACATGGCAAACGGTTCAATTTAAAGTTACGTCAATACCTCTGTCCCTCTCTCTACTTGTTCTTGCTGTTTCGCTCTGTGTAGCCCGATTGCACAATTTTTGTTGTATTGTGTGTTATAATCCTCTTTTTGTGATCGGATTATGTCCTGTGTAGCACCTAATCCCCCGGCAGAGGGACAGGAGTGAGAGTGAGAGAGCAACGGACCGACACAAATACGATATGATACGTCTGTCTCCCTTCCATTTTCATACTGATCCCCCTCCAGAGTCGCAGAGTCAACTTTAATTACGCACTAGACGTCGATGGATGGATTAGAGTAGCCCAACGCCCCCCTAGGCCCTCCCTGGAAAAGCAATTAAATTGTGTATCCCTCAGAGGAACGCTGACCTAAGGAGTGCGGCGTCCGACAGCTGGCGGAGTCAGGTAGCACCCGCTGCCCGCGTATGGAAAGTGAAAAGAAGCATTTTCCAAAAGATCCCTTCAAGCAAGATTGCAGGGGCAATCAAGCTAATTAGAAATTTAATTCTTTTGAATTATTTTTCGTTGGTGTTGTGCTGCTATTCCGGTGGACTTCAGGTTCACTTCGTCGGCGGTCGTCGGCCGTCGTCGTCTGTCTGGCCATTCAACACTTTGCTTTGCTTGCATATTCTCATCAAATTAGAGTTAATTGTACATCATTAAAAGCAAATTCTAGGAATTCATTTTGCGTTTCGTCGGAACAGCCACAACAACAACAAAAACACCCATCGAAAAGTGTTTGTTGGAAACAAAATGGCCGTCGCTCTTCAGTTTCTTTAATATACTCGTATCCATTTATTATGGTGTCAAACAATTTAATTGCCACCTGTCGCATGCATGTTTCCTTATACCTAATTTATGCATACATATTGTATGTGGCCTTGTCGAGGGATGTTAAAATGCGTTTAACTGAAATGATCTGCCACGACATATGGGATTATTGGCCGCAGTCTGTTTTTCCCTTCTTTGACAGCTGTCACCTTTAATGACTTTGAAACGCCATCTTGGAAATGGGTAGAGAATAAAATGCTGAAAGCCCAAGAATTCCCCAACATAGGCCGCGGTTTTCCACCCCTGAATTTATGTTTAGCTGTATTAATTTCGTAACTGTATATGGAAAGCCATTTTGCAAGGGTCAGCCATTTAATTTTCGACACCTTTCTAAAGTGATTTATGTATGTACTTAAACTTAATTTAAATGCATTTCGAACCACTCAGTTTTATCCTCTCATTATCCGAAATATGGTCATTAAGTGATATGCAGAGCAATGCAAAAGGGGCTGGATAGATACTGTAGACTATGGCCCCAAACACTTGTCGAGGGAGATCTTTGCGCGGGGGGCTCTGCTCAAGACCACAGTAAACACAATCGTATGCATGATTGACAGACGGACTGAATGAGTGCATGTCATTTCCAGTGCCTTGCTGACTATACATCAGTGTCTGCCTTTCTCTGTGTGTGTGTAGGTCCGTGCCTACTCCAAAAACAACACTCGAGGCAAACATTTATTTGCACGAGCTACAGGAACAAAAAAAAAACGAAGAGGGAAGGTGGCACTCGGAACATGTCTGTCGGAATCTGAATATTTAGAAGAGCCTCACGTTCGGTGGAGCGGCGCTCAAGCGCGACGTCCAGAGAGAGCAAACAACAACAATAGCACACAAACACACACATACACTGCGAGTACACACCTTCTTATACAGGTTAAAACGAAGCAGCTGCAGCTGATCTTGATGGAGAGGGAGACAGATGAGAAATACAGTGTTGCCCATTTTGACTTTTTCCCTCCAACGGGATCTCTAGCCGTATTTTAGCTGTTGCGCAAATGGAAATTATGGTATTTTCAGAATATGTTCCCGCTTTTCATACATTTTCAGTCAGATTTTATAAAAATATTCTTGATCCGCTATTGATGCTTAATTGTTGTTTATATTTTCTAAATTGCTCTTTTTTAGTGATCAACTGAAAAATGCGTCAATAACAATGGGATCTGTTGACGAACAGCTTGCCAAATAAATGACTTCACATTCCCAATGGGATTCCTATCCCTTAATGCTAGAAATCGTTCAGAGCAGAGCTCTTCCCTCTCATTTATTGCTACATTCGTTTACTCTTAGCTTTTTTATGTCTTTTACCGCTAAAATAACAATTTTGTTTATTCCTAAAAAACAACAGCACTGGAATGAGGAGGGAGAGACAGGCATAAAAGCTCTTCAGCAAAGAGCACTTTACGCATCACTGTGTGTGTGAGTGGGAGCGAGTGAGGTTGAACTGCAAGTGTATGTATGGATGAATTGTCGCCCCGCTCTGGAAACTGGAAACCAGAAACCGGGCAACGTGAAGCGGCACGAGACTCGCACACGAAAGTGAAACACATTCGACATTTGTTTGTTTGAATTGGCATGGGAAAAAGATAACAAAATGTTATTTTGCACGAGACGAGAAAAAACGATTGATAAACAACCCCCGGCACATCAACCGAATCAGCCAGAAATCAAACCGTTTACCCAACCACAATACATACACAGAGGGGATAATACTATGTATGCCAGACCGGCTCTTATCACGGCTAAGCACGTGCGATTTCTTCCAGGTTGTAATTAACCTCAATATGATAATTGCAAGCAACTCTCTTACCCGTTTTTCGGCGCTGTCACATGGATTGCCCACAGAAGATGCACTCGACGAGGATGTGGATGTGGTGGCTGCGGCGCCGCTGCTGGCCGTTCCCGCGCTCTGCATATTCATTTGCGGCATGCCATCCGATGGCCCCGTGTCCAACAGCTCCTGTTTGATGCCGGCGATGAGCGGCAGAAAGTCGTTCTTCAGATGATGATCCAAGTCCAAATCCATTTTTGGAGAGGTATGATTCTTCCGTTATGGTATCCGCGTGGGTGTGGTTGGTAGATGTGGGCGGCCGTAGAGGCTAATTATAGCTCACTTGCTTATAGACAGGGTCTCTCACCAGCAGCAGCTGCCCTTGTGGAACATTTTTTGCGCTGCAGGATTACAAATTGGTTTTTATCTTGAGAATTTCCTTAATCCATTCCGATGCATACACACGCACACTAAAATTACACACAAATACACGAGCGCGCGACCTACGAAAGTAACGGAACGGGCTGAAGGGAGCGCGGGCGGGCGGTAATTGAGGTAGCGCAGCCACAAAACAACGCCAACTTACGTTTTCCACAGAATTAGTTTCGCTTTCGCTTAGAATTTATTATTGTTGTGCCTGTTTCACAGTGGCTAGAGTCATCTTAGTTGGCTTTTAGTTTGAATGAAATTTAATTTCACCTTCGAATTCGATTTGACGCTTGCTTGCAAAAAAATTTTCTCTGCGTTTCGCAGCAATCTTCTCACGGAGCGACAACTACAACACAACTTTCATTTTATACGTCCACTTAACTTCTCAATTTCTCGTCGTGCTCGCACACATTGCAAACCATCGGCATTTTGTTTGTGTTTGCTTCGCGGGGGATGCAATTGTTTATTTGCTAGATTGGTGGTTTTATTACCATAAATTGATATGAAAACACACGGGTCTCACGGCGTTTGCTCTTCTGTACAATTTTCAGCCATTTTGGATTCAATTAATTCATGGCGTTTGCTCTCCTTGGCAGTGTGACCGGGGGGAATTATCGAAAAAGTATACATCATAACCCTCAAAAATATACCAAAAAATATACCTTATAATTTTAAATAATACCGTAAATATACCAAATTGTTAAATGCTCGATTTTGATGTTCCATTTAATATTAACAGCTAGTTGGAACCATCTGCGCTAAAATTCGATTTATATTCGATTTATGAATCAATTCACCGCATGGCTAGCAAGTTTTTATGCAATACAAGTGCACAGTTTACGAAATAATGTTCAAGTTCGGCAATGTCGGCGTTGCCGTGTCGCTGATATTCACGCATGTTAAACATTGGTCACACTGCTAAATATTTAAAAATATAAATTAAAATATGATTTAAGCGATAATTGTGCGGGAAAACAATTTGTATATAACTATTTAATATGTGCACCTTAGCTTAATATTATAAATAATAAAAGCAATTTTGCTTACATCAGCTGTTCTCACAAAACTAAGAAGAAGAACCACACACGTGCGGTTGTTTTTTTTTTTGTGGTCACTGCAGAGTTAGCTTAATTTAATGTTATTTAAGCATATACTGAGCAGCTACACGAAGGCAGGTTAATTACTATAAAATACTGAACAAAGCAAGACCTTAATCAAAGCCTCATCCACTTGCAGTTCGCCTGAAAACACTGTTGCTGAACGAAAGCAAATATTGCCATCGCTACAAATCGTTTGCTGCCGCCATGTCAGAGGCACTGGACAAGCTGGAGCTGGATAATGCGGCCAAAAAGGCTGCCAAAGCTGTCGAGGATGAGGCTGTGAAGGATACGAACCGCATCAAAAGGAATTTAAAGCGCAAAAAGTGGGTGGACTGGAAGACGCAAGACGATGAAGAGGCGGCAAACGGCACCAAACGCGCCCCCTTCGATCCCGCCGATCGGATCAAGCGCAAGAAGAGCGCCATTCTCTTAAGCTATTGCGGCGCCAACTACTATGGTATGCAGCGCAATCCCGGCATGCAGACCATCGAGGAGGAGCTGTTCAAGGCCATGCTGAAGCACAAATGGATAACTGAGGACAGCTACGATCAGGCGCAGATTGCCTGCTTTCAGCGTGCCGCCCGCACCGACAAAGGTGTGTCGGCTGCCCGTCAGATATGCTCTGTCAAGCTGCGTAAGTGAAGGAACGACATTCAACCTTCTATCCAAATACTAATTTGGTTTTTTTTTCAGCCGAGGAGCTGGACTTGGAGGCCTTCAATGCCGATCTGCCCGAGCAGATTCGTTTGTTTGGCGTGGAACGTGTCACCAAGGGCTTCAATGCCAAGGACCAGTGCAATGCTCGAACCTATACGTACACATTGCCCACCGTGGCCTTTGCCCCTTGCGAGGCGGAAAGCGAACAGGAAACGTTTCGTATCGGCACAGAGCTGCTCGAAAAGGTTAAGGAGACGCTGAAGCTCTACGAAGGCACGAAAAACTTTCACAATTTCACCAGCAAAAAGTTAGGCCAAAGCGTAAATCTTTTTCCATTATCCAAACGAAATATTTACTTATATTTTTACCATAGAAACTTTTTGGATCCCTCGGCCAAGCGCTTCATTATGTCCTTCACAAGCAGCGAGCCCTTTCAAAGTCCACATGGCGTGGAGTTTGTCACGCTAAAGGTCAAAGGCCAGAGCTTCATGTTGCATCAAATCAGAAAAATGGTTGGCCTGGCCATTGCCATTGTGCGGGGCAACACGACGGCCATCACGCTGGAGAGGGCACTGACCGAGGAGCGTCTGGATCTGCCCATGGCTCCAGGCCTCGGCCTGGTCCTGGACACTGTCCACTACGAGCGCTACAACGAACGCTATGGCAAGGATGGCATACACAACCCGCTGACGTGGGAGGCGCAGGAGACGCAGGTACAGGACTTCGTTGAGCGTCAGATCTTCAGTCAAATTTACAAAACAGAAGCCGAGCAGCGCAACATGCTGGACTGGATAGGCACACTGCACTACCATTCGTACGACACGCGCAAGGATGAGCCACCGCCAGCTCCGGTGGGTGGAAAGTCTAGCAAGGCAGACGACGACAATGATGAATAATCAACCATCAGCCTTGGGATTATGTTGAACAGTTTTGTTTAATAATTGTTTGAATTAAAATGCATTTTGTAGGCTTTAGAAGCGGCCGCCCTTCTTCTTCTTGTGTCCGCCCTTGCGATGCTGTTGCCTTGGCCCGGGTGTAGTCTCCTGAAACACGGGTGTCACGGGCGAATTCTTAGTTATATTCACGCGGTTCGACATGTCACTGAAAGAATATGATATAAAGATTAAAAAACAATCGTTGGAAACTCTCCGCAAGCTCGGCACTCACTATTGATCGGCTGCTCCAGAGGCCATGCCCTGGGAGCCCTTGATAATATCCTTGCCACGGGCACCGCCACGCTTCTTCCGGAAGCCAGTACGCTCATACTTTGGCAGCCATCTCTCTGAGTCTGGTGCCACCTCGGCATTGTAGTTCTTCGGCAGCTTGCCCTTGCGCTTCCGATTGTGGCTCTTCTTCTTGTCCCCGGGAGTGGTGGGCGATGGTTCGATCTTGGAATTGGCCGACTTCTTGGCCGCCTTGGCGGACATTACCCAATTGGCAGCCTCCAAGGCATCGATTTCGGATGCCGTGGTCAATGTTTCCAGCGTTGGCAACTTCCGACTGATCTCGAGCGCCCGCTTGGGATTGAACTGCGCGTAGGCAATGACCAACTGGGCCAGCACCTTCATGTCATTGGGATTGAGCTTCAGCAGCTCCTCCAGCGAGCTGGCCGCCGTCTCGGAAGCACCGCCACGCAAATGGAACTCGGCTGCCTGACGCCACATGTCCGACAGATCCCCGCTGCTGACATTGTTCTTCTTATACCAGTCCACAGCGGACTTGAGCAGGGCCGAGGCGGCGGGCTTGTTTTCCGTGCCCAGATAGAGGGAGACCAAGGCCGAGACAATGCCAGGCTTGTACTTGGCCTCGCCGAGCGACAGCAGCGTCTCGATGGCATCCCGCCGACTGCCCTGCAGAAGCTGCAGCTGAATGATAGCAAAGTTGCTGACAAACTGATGCGATTGATGGGCGGCGGCAAACTTCTGCAGCTGCTCGATGGCCTCCTTGTGCTTCTTGTCCTTGCCCAGCTGGCTGCAGCGTATCAGCAGCGCTTCGAACTCCACATGCGGATAGGTTTGGGCCAGCTTCTGGCTGAGCTGATGCACCTGATCGGTGGCATTAGTGTACAGCGCCAGCAGGCAGTTGTTCAGGGCAATAACCTGCTTCTGGCGTGACGTGAGCTTCGGCTCGCATGCGTCGGCCATGGCGGCGCGTATTTTCTTCTTCGAATCGAACACATTCTGATCCTTGTTGATCACAACTGAATTGTTGCTGGCCACCGCCACCAGGGCCGCGTCCTTGGGCTTGTGGCGCAGACACTCTGCGTAGATGGTGCTCGCCTCCTTGATCTTGCCCTGCAGCTGCAGGCAGTAGGCCAGCTGGACGCGTATAACGTCCACCTCCTCGAGGATCTCCTCCTCCGAGGCGCCTTCCTCCTCGAGGAACTCGCGGCACAGCTTCTCGCTGGTGCGCAGCTTGCGTTCGGCATCCGTAAACTTCTGGCGATTGGACTGGATGCAGGCGCTGTTGAAGTACTGCTCGTACGTGTCCTCCGGCACTTCGGGTATGTCCTTGTTCTTGTCCAAGGCCAAGTTGGCTGCCACGGCACTGAGATTAGTGCGGCGCTCGTCCTCGTACTCATCGCTGGTGTTCTTGATGATGTCCTTGTAGGAGTCCAGGCACTCATCGTAGCGCTCCAGACGATACAGAATCTGCGTGCGCAGCTCCTTGAGGTTAGGCGGCAGAGGCTGAGCGCCAGCCGCATCGTCAATGGTCTTCAGAGCCTGCGCCTGCTTGTTTAGGCGGTACTCGCAGTAGGACTTCTCGAACACCAGCGACGACAGGCGATTCTTCTCAATGAACTTGTACGCCTCCTCGAACTTCGAGAGCTGCAGCAGGCAGACCACCTTGCAGTGGAGCGCCGTGGAGTCATCCGGTGCCACACCCAGGACTTGAGGGAGAGAAAGAAATGGGACAATTGGAGCGAACACGTTGAAAACAGACGGCAAGAAAACTCACTGCGATTCACTGCTTTGACGGCCTTGTCGAACTCGCGATTGTTGCCAAACTTGTGCACATCGGCGTAGGCTGCTTTTATGAGCGCCTCCTTTGGATTAGCGTCCTTCGACATGTTATCTTCGGGCCTTATTCAGTTGTACAAATTTTAACCTGCGGACTGTGAACTTTCGCTTTGCGTGCCCCGTTTGACAGAAGACACATCAGCAGACGGCGCTGCCAACTCTTTAGCAGTTCGCTTCAGTGCTGTTAGATCTGGCTTTTTCTGAACGGAACAATTTGTGATTTGCGAGAAGCAGGAACTCTTGATTTGTTAGATATGATTTTGCGTTTTTCCAGCTAATGATAATGATGTCACCTATTGATTAAAAAGTATGAAAAAACGGCATATTTAACATTATTTTTTGAAAAAGTCACACGAATGCGAATCTGAAATTAGTCCCAGATCTATCCTGCAGAATATCATATCACTTTTTTTTACTTTTTCTGAAAATTCAAGTTAGAAATAGTTATTGTTCTGATAATAAGTTGGCAGCACTGGTTCGCTTGCATCTCTATTGCCCGTGAGCCGGCATCTCTATCATTTTGATTTTGTACTTGCTGCCGACGCCTTTTGCACGATATATTTGGTCTTTCGGTCTTTTCTGTGTTGAAGTTATTGCAAAATGTCTGCTGAAGTGGATTTCGTCAATAAAAAGGAGATGCACCTTCGCACTCTGAAGCAGTCGGGCCATGTGGGATTCGATAGCCTGCCTGATCAATTGGTCAACAAGAGCGTTCAAAACGGATTCGTTTTCAACGTCATGTGTATAGGTGTGTATATACGAATGCAGTGCACAGTGTATGTGTGTGTATGCTGCGGCGGCAC